GATGACCACTGGCGGCTGCTTGGAGAAGAACAAAGACGAATCGTGTGCGGGGAATTTCGGATCCGAAAACTTCTCTCCTGGAAGAAAAATTAAAATATTAATAATGGTGATGCTAATAATAATGGGTAAGTAAATTCATGAATAGAGAGATGGTTTTTTTATTGTGAAAATAGTATTGTATTAAGAGTCGATTTGGTTTGGATTCACTTGGGTAGACGCATAATAGACAGACAGACAGACAGACGACAGACAGAAACACACACACACACACACTCACACACACACACACACACACACACACAAACATAAACAAACGGCAAATTTGGAAATGACACCTAAACCCGATATCCGGGTGAGAACTGTATTGTCTCTGAAACCTCTGAACGTGTTTCGAACGAACCTAGCACTCATTTCCTCCGCAAACGAAACACAGGTACGATACCGGCCCCAATGGCTGGGGAGGGTATGGCAAAGTCTATCAGCCGGTTTATTAAAATTGTGCCAGGCCCGACCCAACAATTTTCGTATAAACAGACATCCATATACACACAAATAAAGGCATATCTATCGATCTATCAAATATACATTTATTTTTTCTATCTGTCCGGTAGATATGCACGTCTAGACTGATAGATATGTATTTATTTCTGTGTATGTGCATGTCCATGTAATGAGCGTCTATTAGGTCGGGCCTGGCACAATTTTAACAAACCGGCCGTATAGAAGTATATAGACCTGGGTATGGCAAAGTCTATATAAGTACTTATATAGACCTTGGGGTATGGCAAGTATATGGGGAATTCCGGCGTAAAAGCGAATGACCGAAGTTAAACTTTAAGTAATGTAGTTATTGCGAAGAACATTCAATACTATACAGATGGCTTCGTCTGGTATGCAAAATCTTCGCCTCTTATGTTCCGGCAGAATAATAGAGCCTGGGCAAATATATGGATCTCGCACCGATAATTTCTTACTTTGACCAATAAATCTGCAATGACCAAGCATGCAAGTCGTTAGAATCCACGTCGTCGCTTTTGGAATTGAGACCACTATCCGCCACTCCTTTTCGTTACTGCCATGCTATCTTGCTTACTAATGGGGAATAGACCCTTATACACGACCAAGCCATAACGGAACTAATTTGAAATTCAACCGCTTCCCTTGAGTCCGGTTTCTGTCACGTGACAATTGCAAATCCAATTGGCTCTAACAGACTGGTCGCTAGTGTCTATTGTCACGTCACTTCCAATCTAAATTCTCATGGACTCATTTGATTTCCCTCGCTTCAGTCATCGCTGCAAATTCTGCTTATTTCGTCGCCTGCTCGATTTCGCGCCATTTTTTTTTTTCTCTCTCTCTCGCCGCTGGAAGAGCACGTGATACAATAGAGCGTCTAAAAAATTTGAGTTTAACATCCTCTCTTCTACCCTTACTATTAGTGAGGAAACGCTATAGTAGAAATGTAGTAGAATGTTACGTTCTATCAGATGGCAAGGTTAGATTCTTCACTTGGTAGGCGTCATTTTTCATTATACCAAACAAAAACAATACCAATCAAATACTGACAATCAACTAAACACACAGACAACAAAAAGAAAAAAAAAACTGAATTCTCACCTCTATTTAGACAATCCTTCTTCAATTTGCCGTAATTCTGTCCCGCGAATGTCGTAATATTGCTGAAGAGACCCATGTTTGCAAAAAAATAAATTATCTACGTATCCCCTTCCAATCAGATTTATAACATACTTTAATGAAAATATGAAGCTTAAATTACGAAAAAAAATCTTGGTCCCTCTGTCCTCTTCTTCCGTGTTCTTGGTTGGTTAATTTAGTCTTCTCTTTGTGAAAATAAGGCCGTTAGTTGTTCATCTGGAAAGAAAAGAATTCATAATTAGTCTCGAGTATCTGGAAAGGACGCTACATGTAATTAATTTCGATTACTGAGCAAAATGGTGGAAGCTTGTGAAAAAAATGTAGTTTCTCGCTGCTCGTTTGTTTGTTTTTCTGTTTCTGTTTTTCTCTTGCCCTTACTGATTCTGTGTCTGCTTACCCGTTCCCTTTTCCCTCTCCTTTACCTTATTCTCTCCTCACCTTTTCCTCACCTCACCCTCTCCCTCTCCCACTAATTCTCTCTCTCCCTCTTCTCCTACTACTCCCTCACCCTCTTCCTCCCCCCCTCTCCTACTCTCTCTACCTCTCTCTCACACAAACACCGCCACACTATCGCATTACACGTACTTCCAATTTTTCTCCACCACTTTCCTCTCTTGGTTAAAGATATTTCCAAACTGTAATAATTTTATTTTAGACATATAACGAGCCTAAAGATAAAGACACGAACAGTCGATCCTTGGGCTGTAAACTGTAGAAAATAAAAACATTCTTTGGTATCAATTTTATCATAAGTTTTCATCCTCGTCTGTAATCTCTTATCTGTATCACATGTAGAAAATAAAACATTCCTTTGGTATCAATTTTATCATGAGTTTTCATCCTCGTCTGTAATCTCTTATCTGTATCACATGTGGAAGTCAGACTCTATTTTTATATGCATTCTCCCTCTCCCTTCCGTTCTCTTCTTTCTTTCGTTATTTCTTTCTTTTGCATTCGAATAAACAGTTTATAGTCAGGTCTTTGTGGGAATATATACATTGTATCCATTTCAGTTTTTTCAGAATTCTTTTGTATAAAGTCACCACCAAACGGATGCATTCTTTTCCTATTTATCTATTCATTTGTTTATTTACATTCTATATTTGTTTCTATTTCATCATTCGCAGGTGTTGCCAGGTAAGTGCAAGCTTGTTGATGGTAAGACTGTTCTCGATTGAATATTCATAATGGATAAAGACACAGACACAACGCATGTCTCTATCTCTCTCACTCCCCTCTCTCTCTCTCTCTCTTTCCTCCCTCCCTCCCTCCCTCTCTATCTCTCACCCCCCTCTCTCTCTCACACACACATACACAGACGCGTACACACACACATAACACGCACACACACACTCACTCACTCACACACACACACACACCACACACACACACACACACACACACAACACTCACTCACTCACTCACTCACTCACACACTCACACACACACACACACACACACACACACACAACAACACACACATACACACACACACACACACACAACAACACAACAACAACAACAACAACACAACCACATACACAGACCTAAAATTCAAAATATATTTTCGTGCCGTTTTGGCCGCAAAAAAACACGTCATATTTCCGCATGGCAAGCACATTGTAACAGGGACTCGGGAGTGTGGTTCTTATACGGTATATTTGTTTATATATATATATATATATTTATATATATTAATATAATATATATATTATGTGTGTGTGTGCTGTGTGTGTGTGTGTGTGTGGTGTGTGTGTGTGTTGTGTGTGTGTGTGTGTGTGTGTGTGTGTGTGTGTGTGTGTGTGTGTGTGTGTGTGTGTGTGTGTGTGTGTGTGTGTGTGTGTGTGTAAACTTTTTTTTTACTTATATACTTTATAATTAACTGACCTCGTGTAGTTAAATTACGACGGCTGTTTGGTCATACACATAAAAACTACTGTTATCATACACATTCCTTCACCAATATATATACAATATTCACACACTANTGTGTGTGTGTGTGTGTGTGTGTGCGTGCGTGCGTGCGTGTGCGTGTGCGTGTGCGTGTGTGTAAACTTCTTTTTACTTATATACTTATATAATTACTGACCTCGTGTAGTTAAATTACGACGGCTGTGTCCATACACATACAACTACATTAATGCATACATATTCCTTACCAATATATATACATATTCACACAACTACATTAATACCGTCCTGTACACATACCTATCACCCATGATAACTAAATAATGTACAGAACAGGTTTTCTGTGTACGTATGTGTACGTTACAGAGCAAAAGCTACACAGAAAGTTACATTCCCTTCTAAGTCTGTTGTGTGACCTCAGGGCTGACGAAAGCGAGCAATTACCCCACTTCCTACACTCATTTTCACATGCTTTCCTGTCGTTATCATTGTCTTCTTCTCCTTCTTCTTCTGCTTCTTCTTCCTCTTCTCTATTTTTTCGATATCCGTTTTTTCTTCTTTTTTTTCCTCTTCCGTTTTCTTGTTTTTCTTTTTCTTTACTACTACAACTATTACTACTATTACAGCTATTACTATTAACACTACTACTGTCACTACTATTATCACAACTATTACTACCAATACTACTATTACTACTACTACTACTATTCCTAATACAACTACTATTACTATTACTACTGCTGCTACTTCTATCCGTATACTATTACTATAACTACTACTACTACAACAATTATTAAAATTACTACTATTACCACTACTATTACTACTTTTACTACTATCCCTACTGCTACTAGTAGTACTACTCTGTGTGTGCGTGTGCGTGTGCGTGGCGTGTGCGTGTGCGTGTGCGTGTGTGAGTGAGGCTCTGTCACACTATCACTTTTTCCGTCAGATTTTGTGTTTCCGTCTGAATCTGAGGCTTTCCGCAAGTATCGTTTGCAAGCGAAACACCTCCCAGACGAAGACGATTGCGACCGTTTCCGTCTGACTAATTTCCGTCTTGATCTTGTGCTATTAATTAATAAATTAGATAGGACGAGTGAACGTAAACATAAGCTAATATTTTAGAACATTCGTATATACAATATACATCATCATGTTTCTTTGAAATGACGTAATATGTATGAGAATGTTCGTGTGATTCCCGGGACCTCATTCCGAAAGCGCCAGGTTTGTTTACATGGGTCAGTCGGTTCTCATACGGGAAGTTCATTCGGAAACGAAAAAAAAATGACGGAAAGAGTGACAATGTGATAGGGCCTTGAGTGACTGAGAGTGAGTGAGTGAGTGAGTGAGTGAGTGAGTGAGTGAGTGAGTGAGTGAGTGAGTGAGCGAGAGAGAGAGAGAGCGAGAGAGAGAGCGAGCGAGAGAGA